ATTAATTTTTAAAAAATGGATAATGCTTTTGGTGACAAATCTAGGAATTCTGTTGGGCGTGGTGGCAAACACCTGTAATCACTGGAGAGGCTGAGGCAGGAGTATAGCAAGCCTCAGCAATTTAGGGAAACTCCATCAAAACAAACAAAAAACAAACAAAAAACCCCCAAGCAACAACAAAACAAAACAAAACAAAACAAACAAACAAAAAACCCCCAAACAAACAAAAAAGAGGGTGGGGTTGAAGATGTAGCTCAGTGCTTAAGGGCCCCTGGATATACACATGAGATATATAATCATACATATATATTCGTTCTTTCGTTAGCTCTAAATCCTAATTTTTTTCTTAGACCCTAATGCCTTTATAATTAATGCAATTAACATTTAAGCAATGAGATCAACCTGAGTTAATTTTTGTTTAGAGAATGAGATATGCATTGAGGTTCAATATTTTTTATTTTTGTCTATTGCTGTTCCATTGCCCCAATATCATTTAATGAAAAGGCTATCTCTCCTCTATTGAATTTCTTTTGCTCCTTTATCAAGAATCAGGAATATTTGTGGGGTTGGTTCTGGGTTCTTTGTTTTTTTCCATCGATCTGTGTCTATCCTTTTGTTAATATCACACAGTTTAACAATAGCTATAGCTATATAAATCTTATTTTAAAGCAATCTAGTCTATACCGGGTGTCTTGACGCAGCCTGTAATCCCAGCTACTCTCAATCCCAGCTACTCTTGGTGGATCACAAATTTGAGGCCAGCCTAGGCCAGTCTCTGCCGTTCCCTAGTCTGGCCTGGGAATTGTATTTCTCTGGCTTCTGGACTTGAAAGTAGAAGACTACCTGGTTGATGCTCAGTCTACTCTATTGACAGCCCAATGGGAAGCAGGTCTAGTGGTTCTGGTGCTGCAGGTGGTGGCCTGAGGGAACCGTGGAACCGCAGGGTAATTGCTTCCTGGGTGAACTCTGAGTCCTGGAAACATCTTCAACACAGCAATTCATGTACTCTCCATGGCCGTGCCTAGGGGCTAGACCCAGGGGGAACTTCCATGTGCCGCCTCCCAGGAGCATTGGAGCGAAATTGCCTTTACTTTGATCCCTATTCCCCAGTGGAGACACACGTGGATTTCCCGCTCCCGTGATTGAGTCATGTGCACTCCCTGTGATGTGATCGTCTTCTTCTCCTTCTTCACCCTGCCTCTTTCTTCCCCTCCATTGAATCTAGGGCCTCAGGGGTGCTAGGCAAGCACCCCACCACTCAGCTACATCCTCAGCTGTTTTAAAACAATTTTTGAGACAGGTTTTCCTAAAATTGCCCATGCTGGCCATGAATTTGCGCTCCTCCTGTTTTGTCCCCCCCCCCCAAAAAAAAAGACTGGGGGAACATTCGACCAGGAAGCCACATCCCCAGCCTATTCTGTATTTTATTTAGAGACCGGGTCTCACTGAATTGCTTAGTGCCTTGCTGTTGCTGAGGCTGGCTTTGAACTCACCATCCCCTCCTCAGCCGCTGGGGACACAGGCGTGGGACACGTGGCCCTCCTTCCCCATATTTTTTTATTGGTGCATTATAGTTGTACATAATGATGAGATTTGGTGTTATGTATTCGTCAAATGCATACAATATAATAATACAATTTAGCCAATATCAGTCCCCAGCACACTTCCCCCTTTGTTTTTATACAGGGTCACGCTATGTTGTCCAGGATTTAAGTGATCCACTTGTCTCTGCCTCCTGCATAACTGAGGCATACAGGGATGCGTCTCTGCGCCCAGCGGCGATTGAATTTTAACGGTTCTGATGAAAGCAGTTAATTTCTCCAGATCCGTATGGAGACTTCAGATGGAAGCCAAAGTGGCGAGTGGACTGATGGAAGCTCAGCTTTGTTACTTGTTTGTTTCTAGGAGCAAGAGCGCAGTTCACCAGGATTTTGACCCGCTTCTGGGTTACCAGTTGACGGGAAAATTGGAATAGATGGGAGAAGAACTCTACCCCACAGCGGGTGGAGGGACAGGGGAAGAAGAACGACCCACTTGTGGTGTCTGAGATGTCTCTACTGACCTGGGCATGGGGAATCAGCAGCCTTTTCCCCGAAGAAATGGCGAGGGGTGTAATGAGTGTTGTCAGAACAACTTTTTCTAAGGCAACGTCTTCAACGATTTCGTACATGGCAGAAGCATTCTGCAGTTGTTCCTGGTTGGTGCTCTGGACCAAAGGCTGATGTATGACCACTCCACATTGGAGGGCCTGACCACCTGATGGTTGGTTTAAGCCATCCTATCCTGGAACTCTTTGGCCCAGCATCTACCTTTATAGTGGCTGGAAGCCTTTGAATCCCAGACTGGGTATAGCCAAAAAAGTCCCTCCTAGAGGGCCCCCAGAGGCAAGACGGGAGTGTCTTGGAGGTCTCTGGCACCTCTGGTTAGGCTTACCTAGGGTTTACCTGACTAGCCACTTAGGCCTGCGTCAGAGGCTCTCCAAGTGCCTCTCAGCAACCTAAACACTCCACGTGGAAGAGAGGGAGTCTATGGTGGATAAGATGGTGCAGCGTCCTATGTTTCAGTTTCCAATACCTTTTAATATGCTTTCCCATGTCCTCACAATCCCCTACCCCACTGCCGTGCTTGTGAAGAATACAATCCTTACATGTGCTAGGCAAGCACTCTACCACTGAGCTACACCCCATAGTTCTCTGCAAGTGCTTTAAAAAATATTACATTGAGGGCTGGGATTGTGGCTCAGTGACAGAGCACTTGCCTCACACATGTGAGGCATTGGGTTTGATCTTCAGCACCACATAAAAATAAATAAAGATATTGTGCTTATGTATAACTAAAAAAATTAAAAAAAATGTTACATTGAACTTGCAATCAAAGGAATGGGAGATGAAGATAACTTAGAAAGTGTAATAGAAGTCCTCATTGAAGAGATGTATTACATTTTCTCCCCTGGAAAAGTTTCTTTTTATTAGCTACTCAACACACTATAATACTTCATCTTCTGAATTTTATTAATAAAATTACAGAAAAGATGAGAGACTATAGAAAAAAAATTGTCAGCTAGACCCAACTGTTAATGTTTGTCACATTGGCTCTCTCTATATACATATAAAATTCCGGAGTTTTTTTTTTAAGGGGGTTTAATATTTGTCATTTAACTGCAGATATGTCAGGCCCAATGGCTATTGCCTGTAATTCCAGCAACTGTGAAGACTGAGGAGGAGGATTTGAGGTTGTTTTGAGGCTAGCCCCAGCATCTTGGCCAGACCTTAAGCAACTTAGTGAGTCCCCATCTTAAATAAAAATAAAACACTGGGGAAGTAACTCAGTGGTAAAGCACCCCTGCATTCAACCCCCAGTACTAAAAACAAACAAACAAATAAATAAATAAACTGCAGATATAACAAATTACTTTTTATCAGTATGAGTCTCCTGAGAACAAGGACTTTATCTTGTATAAGTTGTATACACTCTAGAAATTTCTAAACATTAATAAAACACAACTTTGCAATTTAGTCCATGTTCAAATTTTCTTCATTGTTCTGAAATGTTCTGATTCAAGATTACTTGAACCATACAGATCATTTAGTTGTCTTTAGTCTGTTAATAGCAGTCTTCTGATTTTTTGTTTTGATGACATTGACCAGTCATCCATTTGCCCCATTACTTATGATGTTAACTTTGGTTATGGTGGTGCTCTCTAGGTATTATAAAGGAATGATTTTTCTTCTTTGTAACTCATAATTTGAGGGCTAGGACTTCCAGATCTTTTAAATATCTAGTCTTCAATAACTTTCATCTGATAGTTTCAGCTGTTGATGATCCTTTTCTAGATAGATTACACAGTGGCCTGTAAAACAACCTACTGTTTTTCTGTTTTCTTTTCCCACTGGTACTGGGGATGGAACTCAGAGACTAAGCTTCATCCCCAGCTCTTTTAATCTTTTGAGACAGGGTCTCCCTAAAGTTGCCAGAGGTGTTACAAGTTCCTACCAGACTGCTGGGATTTCAGGCATGAGCTTCTGAGACCACCTGTTCATTCCTTTTTTACAGTAGCAGCGTGCATGCCTGTAATTCCAATGAAGGAGGAGGATTGGAAGTTCAAAGTCAGCCTCAGCAAGCAATTTAGCGATGTCCTAAGTTATTAGGCAAGACCTTGTCTCAAAATAAAAATAAATAAGTAAATAAATATAATTTTTTTTAAAAAAGGACTGGTAATGTAGCTCAGTGATGAAATGTCCCTTGTTTCAATCCCGAATACCAAAAGTAAATAAAAAACGAGTAAATCAAGTTCACTTAGGAAGCCCTCACCCATTTGGGCTGTGTGGCCGGGTAGGGCCCTAGTGAACTTTGAAACAAGTCAGTTCAAAAAGCTCCACAACAGGTAACAGAGGCCTCAAAGACTGGGACTGTGGGAGCATTTTCGAGCACCTTCTGGTCCCTTCAAGTAAGATAATGAATTTCCGAATCCCGATTTCCTCTCCGTTAAATGGTAGGAATTATTGCTTAGTTCCTGGTCGTCGCCGGAGTCACCTGCACAGTGAAGAACCGGGACAAGCTCCTTTGGAACTAGGGGAAACGACCCTCATTTGGAACCTGAGAGGCAGGAGGAACGGATTCGGCCGTTTTGGGGGAGCCCTTGCACCGTCCAGCCTGCATTCTTACTTTCTGGGAATATGTCCAACCTTTTGTTTTCTGCGGGGGGAAAGTAGACAGCATCTTCTTCCTACTCAAGCTCAAGCCTTCGGTTATTTCCGCGCAGAAGACTCGATCAATGCCGGTGGAAACCCTAGTTTACTAGGAGACAGCTGGGTCGGGGAGCCGGGAGGAGTGTGGTACCCACGTGCCAAGCCCAGGAGTTTGTAATCCGCGGGGCCAAAAGGTGGGCGGGGCGGGCCGAGAGCCGAAGGGTGGGATTGGACCGCAGGCCGGGGGCGGGGCCGCCCGGCTGAGACCCTGCGGGAGCCGCGGCTCCGGGCAGCACTGTTGGGACTCATCTCCGCTGGAGAGTAATTTTTAAGGACTCAAGATGGCTGAGCTCGCGGAACGTAGAGATATCCCACCCTGGCTGAAAGTTCCCGAAGACCTGAAAGACCCAGAGGTGTTCCAGGTCCCGACGCGACTGCTGGAAGCCCTGTTCGGTGAGTGCCCAGTCCTGGCCCCGCTGCCCGGTCCCCAGCGTCGCGGTCTCCGCGGCCTGGATGGAGCGCTCACTTCCCTCCCGAACAGGCCGGCGCGGATGTCGGATCCCTTACGTCGAGCAGGTGAGCAAGGCCATGCTCGAGCTGAAGACTCTGGAATCTTCAGAATTCACCGAGGTCGTGGTTTATGGCTCCTACTTGTCGAAGCTCCGGACCAGATGGATGCTTCAGTCCTTGGCTGAGTGGCACCGCCAGCGACAGGAGCGAGGTAAGAGACGCCGTGACAAAGTGCTCCAGGCGGGGAAGTCGAGGGGGGGAGCCTCACTTTCCCTTTCCTCCAGCAGTCCTTTTTGTTTCTTCCCTCTCTCTCTCCTTCGCTGCCCCAAACAACCTCTGTTATCACCGGGAGCGCCCAGGGCGTCTGGGCTGTTCCTGGAAGTTCTTTGGGAGTTTGGTCTTCTTATCTGACATATCTGAATTCAGACTCCACCCCTGCCCTAGACTTCTAGGAGGGTGAGAAAACGGATCTAGTTTTTGGAGGGTCCCTAGAATTTCAGGTCCAGAACGCTTGGTTCAGAAAGTCCACAAGACAACCCTGAAAGACTTGGAGAACAGTCAGGGCTGTTATCCTCTCTCTCTCTCCCTCCCTCAGTCCGCTCACATTCTTATCTCACTGTTGCTCTTTCTGGTTTAGGAATGCTCAAACTTGAGGAAGCAATGAATGCTCTGGAACTAAGCCCTTGGATGAAGTGAAGCCATTTTCCAGCCCATGTGATTGGGTCCAGGATGTAGAGATGAGGCTGTGGCCAGAGTTAGGGTGGGTCTGACTTGGTTTAAATTCTGCCAATCTGACTTCTATAGCCAAATATTTGGGGGTATTTGCCTTGCTCTGAGTTCTGATGTGAATTTCTCTTTCCAAGGTTGCTAATGAAGAAATAAAGTTTTTTTTAAAAGTAGTTTTTTAGTTGTAGATGGAAACAATATCTTTATTTTTATTTTAATGTGGTGCTGAGGATGGAACCCAGTACCTCACCCATAGGAGGCAAGCGCTCTACCACTGAGCTACAACTCTAGCCTCATAAAGTTTCAAATAAAATTCCTTGACATTGTGGCTCATGGATTGAGAGTAACACCTTAGATATCCAGTGCACTGTGGAAGTGTGGTTCTTAAGCTTTATTTTATATGGACACCCCCCACCCCCACCCCCAAATTGGAATGAGGTCCAAGCTCAACTTGACAAGTGGCAAAAGGGTCTAGGAATTGAGATGCAGCTGTGAAACAAAACCCCACAGGATGTATGATATCACCAGGCAGTGACCTCGACTTATTCAAAAACAACCTAAGGTAGGCTAATATAACCTATAAAATGAAAAACAACCGCTCTGGAAAACAAAACTATGGAAGAGCCAGGACCAACTTCAGTGTAGCAGGTTTGTGTCCTTGTGCATTTATTAATAGAAGACAGCTGGGTTTTCATTTTCATTCAGTCTATTAAATCTTACCTAGGTTGATGCATGTGAAAAATTCAGCTTTATACAGATGAGAAAGGAATTGGAATTATTAAGGACACTTCAGTTCTTCACTAGGCACCCAAAAGGAAAGTCTGGTTGCCATAGGTGAGGCTCACTCTGGATGGTAGAAGATCAACCAAAATAGGTACTATAGTTTTCTTTGGTAGAGAGGAGTTTGATACTCAAACTAAAATGAATCCTAATTGTGGGAGTTCTCTGGCCCTATGATCTTAGGCCAGTTGTTTAACCCCCCAAGTTCCTCAATTTCTGAGGATAATAACAGCATGTATAATGATGAAGGGTCTTCTGCAAGAGGAGTCTAGTATGTCTATCAGATAATTTAAATAAGTGGTGGTGACCCATTCTTGTAATCCCAGTGACTCAGAAGGCTAAAGCAGGAGGATGGTAGGTATAAAGACAGCCTCAGCAATTTAGTGAGGCTTTAAGCAACTAAGCAAGATTTTGTCTCAAAGGGCTGGGGATGTGATTCAATGCCCCTTGGGTTCAGTCCCTGGTACCAAAAAATAATTGTAAAGCGGGGAGCAATCAGTAACTGAAGGCACCACCATTTTGATCCAGTGGTTAAGGTAAAAATTAGTCATCTTGATGTCTCACTCCCAATATGAAATCCTTGAACATGTCCAATTTGGCCTTATTGAAAGAAACAAAACAAAAACAAAAGCAGCCAGATTTTTATTTTCTTTTTGGTACTGGGAATTGAACCCAGAGTGCTTTCCCTTTAAGCCACATTCCCATCCCTTTTTATTTTTTTTGAGACAGCCTCACTAAGCTGCTGAAGCTGGCCTCGAAATTGCTATTCTCCTGCCTCACCCTCCCAAGTAGCTGGGATTACAGGCCTGTGCCATGGCACCTAGCAAAACCAGATTATTTCCATATTTTTTATTGATGCATTATAGTTTTACGTAATGTGGATCTGTTTACATATTCATACATGCACACACTATAACAATATAATGTGGCTAATATTCCCTAATTTTCTCCTCTACCTCCTGTCCTCCCCTCCCCGTTTCCTTTATTGATTGCTCCTCAATTTTCATGAGGTTCCCCCTACCTTCTACTTTTTCCTTTCTAGTTTCCACATGAGAGACATGAACTTTGACCTTCTGAATTTGGCTTATTTCACTCAACATAAATAATGTACTCAAGTTCCATCCATGTTCCTGCAAATAACAATATCATTCTTTTTATGGCTGGATAAAACTGTTGTGTTTGTATAATCAAATTTTCTTTATTTTTCCTTTTTGGTACCAGGGATTAAAACCAGGGGTGCTTAACTACTGAGCTACATCCCCAGCCCTTTATATTTTTTATTTAGAGACAGGGTCTCACTAAGTTGCTGAGGTTGGCTTTGAACTTGCAATCCTCCTGCCTCAGCCTCAGGACTCACTGGGATTATAGACATGCACTACCGTGTCCCACTTATATACCACATTTTCTTTATCTGTTCATCCACTGACAGACACCTAGGCTGACAACCAGAATTTAGTTCTTCCTATAACCACCATCTCCAGTTCTATACTATTTGTCACGACTACTAATTTATAATGGGTTTTTTGTTTGTTTTATTGTTTTGGGCATTGAGAATTGAACCCATGGGAAATCTAACACAGAGCTACATTTCCAGCCCCCCCCCTTTTTTTTCTAATTTGAAGACAGGATCTTGCTAAGTTGCTCAGGTTGGCCTTGAACTTGCCATCCTGAGTCAGCCTCCCAAATTGCTGAGATGACAGGAGTTGTTTACCATGCCTGGCTTGATAATTTCCTTTGGTTCATCTCAGTATGTTCTACATCAGCTGAATTTGTTTTTAAAAATGTAAATTTCATGGCTCCTCTTCCAAAAGGGACCTCAGAACTTTTCATAGTTGTCTGTTCAACTTAACCCACAGTCCTTACCCTGACTTATAAGGCACTAGATAATCTGACCTCTGACAAATAGAAACTCTTATCCCTTTGCTCTCTGCTCTAACTCATCCACTTGATGCCCTTAAAACACAAAGTTTGTTACTTCACGGCTTTTGGTTTTGCTGTTCTTTTGCTTAGAACACCTTTTCCTTACATTTTTTTAAAAATATTTTTTAGTTGTCAATGGACTTTTATTTTATTTATTTATTTGTGGTGCTGAGAATCGAACCCAGCGCCTCACACATGCTAGGCAAGTGCTCTACCACTGAGCCATACCCCAGCCCCTCCTTAGATTTAAAAAAAAATTTTTTTTAATTAGAGCACTATAGTTATTTTCCTCAGATTTTTGAATTAGTTTTGCTCTTTTCCTTCAGGCAATATATATTAACCTCTCCTCCACAGACTCTGTTTGATCTTTATTTTTATGACATTTGTAAACCTGATGACAGCATTAGCTGTTCTTTCTTGCCTCTCCTTCACTAGCATATAAATTTAGTAAGGCAGGGATATTGAATTTTTTTTTTTTTTTTTTTTTGGTACTGGGGATCAAACCCAGGGCCTCAGGCATATTAGTTTAGTGCTCTATCACTGAGATACATCACAGACATTCTTATTTCATTTTTTAAAAGAATTTAACTTTTGTTTATTTGTTTTTATGTGGTGCTGAAAATCAAACCCAGGGCCTCACTCATGCTAGGCCAGCACTTTACCACCCAGCCCTCTTATTTCTTTTTGAGACAGGGTCTTGCTAAATTTTTCAGGCTGATCTCAAACTTGGGATCCTTTTGCCTAGGAGTAGCTGGGATTATAGGTGTGTACCACCACACCAGGTTCTGGATATTAATTTTAAATAAAAGGAGCAATATAGAATAGTTAACAGTAGTGTTATTAGACACAACACCTACTAGGCTGCCTGAGTTTGAATCTTGGCTCAGTCACTCGTTAGCCTAATGAAGAGTGTGTTAGCCTTTGAGCTTCAGTTATCCACCTATAAATTTCTTGTGGGGTTGTAATGAGGATTAAATGAGTTAAGATCATCTTAAGCCTTGGTAAAGTCTTAGAAAGATATCTGACATAATAGATGTTGAATGAATATTTCTTGAATTCATGAATAACAGGCTATTCTTATTTCAGTGCAAGATTGGAGCTAAACTTCATGGACTGTGGAGGTCTGAAAGAGGAAGGACTCCAGCCTCTAGTCCTTTATCCTATAAGGTGTCTATCACTAAAGTCTTTTTTTTTTTTGTAACAGGCATTGAACCTAGGGTGCTTAACGACTGAGCCACATCTCCAGTCCTTTTTATTTTGAGACAGGGTTTGTTAAATTACTGAGGCTGACTTTGAATTTGTATCTCTTGCCTCAACCTCAGGAGTCTCTGGGATTACAGACATGTGCCACCACACCTGGCTTACTGAAGTTTTGTAAGGCATTGTTTTCTGTCCTACTGAAAGTGCTCGGTGCATGTGTAATTTTTAGGGGGTCACCAGATGCCATACAACCTGTGAGTCACTGGGGAGACAGGCAGATTAGTCATGCTATTCAGGTTCATTTGGAATGGAGGGAAAGATTCTGGTCATGTACTACACTGGCTTTTTGACACTTCCCTCTCTCCTTCCTCATCCTTGAAAATTCTGGCCTGAAGGTCCTGGACCACATAGTCTGGCTGCCATTTCATATTTTGAAGGAAAAAAGTCATTTTAATTTCCCCCAAAATCCCCACAAAATAATTGCCAAAACAATTCCATCCTTTTTTTTATTGGTTGTTCGAAACATTACAAAGCTCATGATATATCATTTTTCATACATTTGACTCAATTGGTTTATGAACTCCCATTTTTACCCCAAATACAAATTGCAGAATCACATCGGTTACACACTCACATTTTTACCTAATGACATATAAGTGACTGTTGTATTCTGCTACCTTTCCTATCCCCTACTATCCCCCCACAATTCCATCCTTGTTGAGCTACATCTCCAGCCCTTTTTATTTTAGTTTTTTTGAGACAAGACCTCGATAAGTTGTTGAGGCTGGCCTCAAACTTGAGATCCCCATCTTAGCTTCCTGAGTTGCTGGGA